GCTTTCAAACATAGGACCAATATAGCAATTGGAGCTAAAGGCAAAATCTTTCAACTTTTGACAAGATAAAAAGAGTCCAAAAGCTCTGAACTTTCCTCGCAAGTGGTCATGAAATGTCAATTCCTTGAAACGATAAAAGTAAACAAATTGTGAAAGATTGATTGATCAGCATAGGAGGTTTCCGTGGGTGGTTTTTAAAAGCTAAAAGCTGAAAACTCCAGCTTGAAAAAAGTTTGGCCTTTGCTTGCCAATTGTCCTTCAATTCTCTCGTAACTACAATTATCCATTAAAAAAACCCATTTTTAATTCTTAGAAAAAAAAAGTTTCTGCTTTTAATAGTTTACAAAGGAGCCAGCTGTGAAGCTAAGCCACCATCGTTTTGTAACAGTGAATCCAACGGCTCAGAAAAGATGCCAATGCTGTGCAAGCAAGGGGCTAACCATCTCTGACATGACTCTGTATATAACTACTGAGATAAAAGAGAGAGACACAAAAACATAATACGCTACGCTTAAAAGGCCGGACCAGCCCGCCATTAATGCAATTCATCTCCTTCTCTTTCAAAATTTTCTCCTTCTTTAATTTGCAACCATTATCACTATCAGCTTATTGGTTGCCGGTTGCTTCAACCAAGTACTATACAAGAAAAATTCAAGCTTTTCACTGTAATCTAGTTAACTCCTTTCTCTCTCTTTTTTTCTTTTAGGTCCTTGCTTTCTGCTTGGTTCGCAGAGAAAAAAGACTTGTTTTTGGGTGGTTTAGTTTATTAGGTATTCTTTTGTAGTATTTATTTCCTTCTTGTCTATTTTCTTTCAAGTGTTTCCTTTTTTTTAACTTTTAAATAAGAAAAAAAGATTCCGTGATAAAAGTGATGGTTTTGGGAAGCTTTGTTTATAATAAAGCATAGATCTTCTTTTCTTTGTTTTAATTCTGGATCAAAGTGTCATTTTTTGTATGTGGTTTTACTATCTGCAGAAGAAGTGTTGAAGATGGTGGCTTGTTTTCATGTATTTGATTCAATGGGGATTTGTTTTAGTGCCAGAATTAAAGTTGAGAGCCCCAATAACATAGGTAGTTCAATTTCCTAAAGCAATCATTTTGTTTTCTCTTTATTGAGCACCATACTAATATATCTGCTATTTTCCATGGACTCATTTGCTTAATTAAGCACTTTAGGAATTTTGGGTTTAAGTCTAAACTAGTGTAGTTTATTGAGAGCTTTATCTTAATTAGTCACAAGTTGGCCTTGTTTTGCTCAATCAACAGATCTCATTTAACAAATGCATTAGTTTCACACATGTTTGAAACAGGGTTGAGTTCAAAGTATGATAGTGGTGAGAGGACAGATATGAGCAGTGAAAACAGCGACATCAAAGTTTCATCATTTTCTGCACCTATGACACCTCGGAGCGAGGGTGAGATTTTACAGTCCCCCAATTTGAAAAGTTTCAGTTTTGCTGATCTCAAGATGGCCACGAAGAACTTCCGCCCCGATAGTGTGCTAGGAGAAGGCGGTTTCGGCTCCGTGTTCAAGGGTTGGATCGATGAAAATTCCTTCACTGCTACCAAGCCTGGAACTGGCATTATTATTGCTGTCAAAAGGCTCAACCAGGATGGATTCCAAGGTCACAAGGAGTGGCTGGTGAGTCCCATGTTCAGCCTCATCGATCTTCTTATATGTGCAGTATCTGAGTGGCTTGCATTTCTTAACAACATTTAATGTTTAATAAGATATAGTTGTATTGATAGCCATTAGATTATGTATTCAATATCGTAGTGCATGGAATCACTTATCGTCTTTCTCAATCTTATAGGCTGAAGTGAATTATCTGGGACAGTTTTATCATCCTCATCTTGTGAAATTGATTGGATATTGCTTGGAGGACGAACACCGCCTTTTGGTGTACGAATTCATGCCTCGGGGCAGCTTGGAGAATCATCTATTCAGGAGTAAGTTCTTTCAGTCCATCTCTTTGTGTTCATTGAACTAAACTCTGCTTTAAGTGCTATTTTGTTAGATTGTAACACTCGAATTATGTTGTACCAGGAGGATCTTATTTCCAGCCTCTTTCATGGAGTCTCCGCTTGAAGGTTGCTCTGGGTGCTGCAAAAGGGCTAGCCTTCCTTCACAGTGCCGAAACAAAAGTCATATATCGAGACTTCAAGACTTCCAACATCTTGCTTGATTCGGTATGTGATTTGTTAAGCCAACATTATATGGTTTTGTTCATCATATTCTCTATGAACCATTTCATTCCGATGTCGTTGCAGAACTACAATGCTAAGCTTTCGGATTTCGGATTGGCCAAAGATGGGCCAACAGGTGATAAGAGCCATGTTTCTACAAGGGTCATGGGTACCTATGGATATGCTGCTCCAGAATATCTTGCCACAGGTACATAACAACGGTCAGCAGTGTATTTGTATGTTTCCGCTCTTGTAATCAATGAATCTTTCCGTTTTTTTCTCCAACTGTAGGTCACCTGTCTGCCAGGAGTGATGTCTATAGTTTCGGAGTTGTGCTGCTGGAGATGTTATCCGGCCGAAGAGCAATCGACAAAAATCGACCATCTGGAGAACAAAAACTGGTGGAATGGGCCAAACCTTACCTCGACAACAAACGCAAAGTATTCCGTGTCCTAGATAATCGTCTCGAAGGCCAGTATTCAATGGAAGGAGCCTTTAGGGCTGCTACCCTTGCTTTGCGATGCCTTTCGATCGTTGCCAAGTTCAGACCGAGCATGAATGAGGTTGTAACAGCATTGCAGCATCTCCTGGATTCCTAACGATTCTGAAAGTAATCAGAACAACACTAACAGCATACATCGGAGACGTAGGCAAAGCGCGGATGATGCCATTGGGGGAAGGAGTACGACTGCATACCCTCGCCCATCTGCTTCGCCGCTTTATGCCTGATGACGGAATCGAGGCCAGGAACAAAAGCTGCTGGCCTCTCGATCGTCTCCGGAACTCAGGCCTTCCCTTTTTCTATACGTGCCTAGTGACTGTAAAGTTAATTTATAGGTAATGTACTCAACTAATGTTGTCTACAAGGGGAATGTATATGCATGCAATTATTTATCACTTTTTGAGATCCAACTTGGAAAACCATGTAATTGCTTTTCTACAACCCCAGTTATTAAGGTCTTTTGTCTCTTCCATTCAGGTTTTTGTTGAAATTATGATCATATTATTATCATTCAAGTTTAGGGTGATATGCATTTGTAATTGGTTTTAGGGTTTGAGAATAAATGTGATAGTTGAAGTTGAAGTCTTACATCAAAGATTCCACGTTCCATCCTTGGGTCTCCTTCATGATGATTTGAGAGAAATGGATTGCTCAGATTGTTCCCAGAAAGATGAACGTATTGAAAAAGCAGTCTGAATAACAGTGGACGCCATAGAATTTGTCAAGTCAAGCATTAGAGTTGAAATGGACTCCACCTATGGAGGGAAGTCAAGGAAATCAACTTCTGATATTGCAATCCAAATTTTTTACCTATATCTATGCATATATGTTTTTTTTTCTTCTTTACCTTTTCGATTATTTAATTATTCAGTTGTTTTATATATGTGACTTTCGATTTTATTTTTATTCTATTCCATAAATTTCTTTAGTAAATGAATTGAATATCAAGTGTGGCTCCAAAAAGTTTTGTATGAATGTTTTGAGATGTGATGTAGTAAAATTTTACGTGTCATTATTTAAATAAACGGTTACGTATTTAATAATAAAATATAAAAGGTGATTGATTGAGAAACATTATTATATTAATATATATATATTTTAAATCAGGAAAAATTGTCACCAGAAATTTATATCTGGGATTGTGTTTAACGTATAGGATGAATGGGAAAGAATCCAATTCCAGGAGCTGGGTTTGATTAGAATGATGGATGGGGTAGTTTTTATTATAAAATCGGCCTATTTGCACTAATGACTCAATAAATCGTGTTAATGATACGATAGGATTATAGTTTCTTTAAAGTCGGTTGGATTTTTACTGTATTAGTAGAACATGAAGTTATTATCACAAAACACAACATATATGTTGAGCAACCAAACACCAAAGCTGGAGTTGAGCATCCCAACTTGGGTGTTGATAAACATTTGAGAAATGCATTCGACATGAGGGGAGGCCTCCATTTTTGTTCTGCAGCCCAAACGGCAAGAATAGGTTGAAATTTACATGTTTGATGGTAATGCTAATAATGTTGAATAAGTTACCAAATGCAGGTGGGGGGGGGGGAGTAAAGGATTCTCCTTTCTTAACATCAATTTTGCTTTGCCTTTTTCATTTATTCATTCATTATCATTTCTCTTACATTAAGATGTTATTATGAGACAAGAACGTTAGTATTAATCTTTTAACTTTCAGCTTATGATTACCAGAAGAAAAAAAAAACTTTAGTTTATAGTTAGAAACACAAATTTATTAAAATTAATATTTTATGTTTCAAGCAAGCGTCAGTAGTCCAACGGTCAGGATAATTGCCTTCCAAGCAATAGATCCGGGTTTGACTCCCGGCTGACGCATACCTATATATGTTGTTTTTTCTTCAGTGTTTTTATATCAGCAAGGAATTTTTGTCTTTTTTCTTACGAGGAATATGGGAGGGGTTACTAACAACATTCAGTTATTTTCCAGAAAATTAACATTGGAATTTCCTTCACACAAGGTTGATGATTCACTCAAGTAGCTTATGACTCTTTCATGTTTGATTTTGACTCTCTTTTGAAGGACAAAATACAAGATTTTTCTTTTGTTTTCTTCTTCAACTTTAAATATCCCAATCCAATCGTATAGCACTCATGCTAGCTTCAAAATTAAATCATTATGGACTTAAGAAGCATACCAAATAGCAAGCGATTTCTTTTCTACTTTGAAACGGTAAGAGGATTTAATTTTTAAATACAGAGACGAAATCTCAAACTTCTCAAAATTTCCTATAAAGTACATTAGAAATCCACCCCTTTAATTGGTATGTATAGAAAAGAATGATACGAAGTTGCCAAAACCACACAAATTTAGCATTGTTATGATCTCAACCAGAAAGTTCGCTGGAAATGGATTATTTTAAGCAAAGACATTCTGTGGGACACTCATGATGTAACACTGAAATCAAACATTTATGAACCAAAAAAAATATCTTCATGATTTGCAATATCGAAATGTTTGCAAACGAAACGTAAAAAAAAACAATACCTAGTGGCATTTCTCAAGTTTGTTTCTGATTGTTTTCTAGGAATAATGAATGGTTCCTCATCTAGCAGAATCAAATCTTTGAAATGTGTTGTAGAGACACCCGGGAGCCAGTTGATGGTACAACGCATATCAGAAGTGGGCCAAGCTGTATACCATAACCCACGCCAACTGAAAATAATAAATAAATAAAACAAGAGATTTTCGTTATAGCAATAAACATGGGAAAAGCTCTCTTTTTCGAATATTATGTAATGTTGGCCTTTAAACATGAAAGAAATAATTAAAAGTTGTTTTGAGTACCAAAAAAAGAGTTATTGAAGCAAATAGCCCTTCTTGAAGAAGGGCTGCATGACCACCAAAGTCTTCTTCGTCAATCTTTAGTATCATAGCATAATAACCATATATGATTGCAGTGGATATGGCTAGAAAACTGCAGGAAACAAATATTAACAAAATGTTTCTCAAAGATTAGAAATGAAAGAGTAAAGAAATACAAAAATACTGCAATTATTCTCTTATTGAATGAATTCTTCACAAGCAACAGATGGATATCAGGACATACATAATAGAGAAGTTGGCACAATAAATCCTCAACACAAATAGCCAGGAAAACTTGAAAAATGAAATGCTGGTTTTAAGAAATTGGCACCAAGACGAGAACACCAAAGGCAATCTTCCTTTCAAAGAGACATGGGATGGTGATTTACACATTTCATGCTCAACAGATAGTATACTTGCCAATTCCAAAACACCGGCAATAGATAGTATACTCAAAATCATTTATAGAGCCTAGAAAATTAATTCAAAGAACCAGGGGCATGCACATGCATACAGACATATGCGGTCTGCATCTATGGACAAGAGGTAAAGTTCATGTAGAAAAATGGCTCGTATATTTGTAGATAAAATGTGGTTCCAGAAACCCTACAATTATCCAAGTACTAGCCTAAATTCATAATGCCATAATCCTAGCCTAAGCAAATCCCGGAATCCATTCTTTGTTCACAATGGATTGCTGAGAATTATTGGTGACCAACAGTCGGCCAATCTATGCTTTTATCAAACTTGAGCACCTTATGTTGAAATCACAGTTCCATCCAGTTACAGCAGTGTAAATTCCAATAGCCTTACCTATTTAGAACTAGCATAAAAGCATATTCATACAGCTCGGATCACAATATGGAATCTAAAAGCTAGTGAGTCACCAGATTTGGAAAAGATTCAAGAATCCAATATGAATCTGAAACACACTGCAATTTGCAAATACATGCAACATGAATATGAGAACTTACATGAAAATCCAAATGCCTCCAACCACAGGGATTGCCCCCCATAATAACCCACAAAAAAGAGCGACAACTTGTCGAATCCAATGCAATACATCTCCTAATTGATCCTGCTCCGAAAATCAACCAAAACACATCATCAATTTTCTTTTATGGAGAATACCCAATTCAGTTACATACATTATCCTCCTATTAACAGTGAAAAAAACCCATTAATCGAACTATTTCTAGAACTGAATTAGCTCAATAAAGAGCATCATTTTTGGGAAAATGACTTCAATTACGGTTACTATTTCCCTGTAATCAATAATAAAAATTTCAAATAAAGTCAAAAAAATTAATGGGATGGTGGGAAGATAAAAGACTTACTTTGTCCCAAGAAGCTTCCGGATCTAATAACTTGGCGAATATGAACGGAGAAAAGTGATCATTTTCGTGTAGCTGATGTTGCTGCGCGTTCAATTTAACTGATTTCGTTTCTTTCATAGTTAATTTTGAATGAATTATAGAAAGTGAGGAATAAAAGATAGAATTTTGATCAGATGCTAAAATTGGGTTAGGGTTTTGGAAGGGGAAAAGTATAAAAAATTGTTCAAAATGCTTTGATGTGGATCGAAAGGCAGTGTAATATCCGAAAAAGAGGAAGAAAAAGACAATTTATTTATTAGTTTTTCTTCCAAGTGTATTTTCTTCTTCTTCTTTGAAGTATTCTGTTAGTATTTGTTTCAGTGCACTGCACGTGATGCAATCACTGTGATATTATTGTCTTTTTTTAGGTTAAACTACACGTTTAATACCTAAACTATCACTTTTGTTTCATTTTCGTCACTCAATTATTTTTTTTCAAAATAATGTCTAACGTTACATTTTAGTTTATTTTAGTCACCCGCCGTTAAAAAATTAATAGGACTACTTATTTGATATTTTTTTATTTTTTAATGATAATGTGGCATTATCTTTTGATGACACATCAATATCACTATTATTTTAAACAGTGTACGACCAAAATGAAATCAAAACTAAGCGTTATGTATGATTTTGAAAAAATGTAATTGGGTGACCAATATTGAACAAAAGTGATAGTTGAGGCAATAAATGTATAGTTTAGCCTTTTTTAGTACTTTTAATATTAGGTAAACTACACATTTAGTGACTCAATTATCATTTTTTCCATTTTGGTCACCAACTATTTTTTTCTAAAGTCATACATAACATTATGTTTTGATTTCATTTCGATCACCCACCGTTAAAAAATTAACAAAACTGCTGATGTAACATCATCTTATGGTGACATGTTAGCATCACTGTTAATTTTTTAACAACAGATAACAAAAATGAAATCAAAACTAACTATTAGATATGATTTTGACAAAAAAAGTAACCAAAACGGAACAAAAATGATAGTTGAGATACTAAATATGTTGTTTACTCTTAATTTATAAAAACCTGATAATGTTAAATAAAATATTTTATAAAGTTTTTTATCACATTATATTTTTACTTGTCGCTTCACTATTAGTGTTAGTTTGTTATTATCGTTTTTGACAAGTATAGTAAAAAATTGTTGGGGAAATATATTCGTAAGAAAATAAATTGTGATTTTAAACACGATATTACAAGTTAAAAATATATATCTATATGATATTTAAATTTTGGGTAAACTACATCAAATACTACTGAACTTTAAGCGTTGATTTTTATATCATCAAACTTTTAATTTTGTCAATTTTAACACTAACAATTATATCATTTCGCCGTTAATAACTTAACGGGAGGATGACATATTAGCTACATGTCACGACGTTGCTAATGTGGTTGCCTCACCAAAACGACATTATTTTGACGCGATTATTCTGGCGCTTAAAAAAACCCAAAACATCATCATTTTGTTAGAGTCACTTGATGAAAAAAATCGTTTTCTTCGAGATTCAAACTAGTGTTCTTCATGAACTAATGCCAAACACACAATCACCAAATTAACTTAACAACTTGTTATATTATTAACAAAACTAATATATATATGTTAAATAGTAGTTTGGATTAGTATAATTTATTTAATATTATTTTTATAATTATATTATCATATGAATTATTTTAAAAAATAAATATTATTTATAATATAAACATATAAAAAAATTAAGGCAAAATGATCACTTTTGCTCCTGTAGTAGACCCAATTTATCGTTTTCGCCCATATTGTATTTTTGTATCAATTTAACCCTCAAAGTTGTTCAATTGTATCATTTTATACCCTACTCCTCACTTAAAATCCTAAATTGAGGGTTTAAATTAGAGATTAAGGTTTCGAGTTTAGAGGTTATGAGATTATAATTTAAGGTTATCAATTTAGAGTTTTAAGTTTGGGTATAATATAAAATGATGCAATTAATTAATTTTGATGACTAGATTGATGCAAAAATACGTTAAGGGAGAAAATGATCCTTAAGCCAAAAATTAATATTTTTTTTATAAATATTTTTTGTGGAACTAACTTGATTAACACCCCTAGAATCACCATATTAGAATCCACAGCTTTACCATTCATTTGCTTTTCACCGGAACTAACTTGATTGCCAACATATCTCGCAACAGCAACGATGTTAACATTATTTTGAAATTCCAACAGCCCGTCCTGGTAAGGCAGACCTTGCGTATACTGCTCCTCCTTCGGGTAGCTCTCTTCGAAAACTCTTTCGGTGAATATTTATTCATTTACTACTATTAATTTTAACAGTTTATTTTTCTTTATCTAATAATCTTAAATATATGTAAAATTAAAAGAATTTCACATTGTGTAATATAATCATATTCCTATATAAAATATTAAATATTTAATAATTTCGATTAATATGATTAATTAACCATCGAACCAAATTAACCAGTGGTAGATCATGTAGACGCTTTATTTCGACCTTATAATAATATATTATTTATTTATTTATTTTATTTTACAGGCCCAAGGAACTACAAAGCCCAACAGAAGATTCTGGTCCAACCCAGGTCCAAAACACGTAACAGATTAGGGGTCCCCAGAACCCTAGCTCACTCCACTCTTGTTCCAGCCGCCAGCAATAGTGACCGTTGGATCTAGGTGAGATCCAACGGTCCACAGCAAAGGTATCCGGGTAGCCTCCAAACCCTAGCCAAGGTTCCAGCCGCGCCTCACGCCCCCTTCAACCTCCCACGGCCGCACGTCTCTCAATAACGTCGGATTTCTCGGCCCTCACCAACGGCATGCATATGTGAAACACATCAACAGCCCAAACACATTAGAGTTCTAATTTAACTAGGAGTCTAAAAATAGGATTTTCTTTTGTTATAAATAAGTGTAAACCCAAGCATTTGAGGGGGACGGTTGATACAGAATACAAAACACAAATTACACAAAAACTACGAGCAATATTGGGTTGATACCGAAACATTTTTCAAGATTCTCGAAAGTAACAGAAGGTCAAGTCTATACCATGTTTGTTTTTGAGGCTTGCATGCTTGTTGTTTTGTTGTTCTTAATTCGAAAAATACCAAAGAAAACTGTTTTGGCCAATGAACTTTTAGGGGAAGGATCGAGACTTTGATCTCAGATCTACCCTCCCCCGAGGCCTATTTCGAAAAACCGGTTTAAGATTTGGGTCGAGGGCAAGAAGAGCTTTCGAAAAAAGCCTACCTTTTCGTGTTTGGCCACCGATGAACGACGGCCACCGCGGATCCATGGCGGCGGCGAGGCAGTGCTAAGGTGGCCAGAATCTGGGTTCATGCGAGAACCCGGCCATGTTCTTACTTTTAAAGAACAGACGAGAGTAATGTTGAGAGGGAGGGAGCTCTCGACGAGAGAAGAAGAGAGAAATGAAACTTTAAAAAAATATATTTGAGTCATATAGTGAGCCCAGCAGACCAAACTGGCCCGACCCATGCTTATATCAGATCCGCGTATTTTGTAATAAATTAGGGTAAACTACCCTTTTGGTCCCTCCGATTTTAAAATTCTATTATTTTGATCCCAAATCTGGTTCTCAAACTCCAACGTTATTCTAATTCGACCACTCAATTCGTTTTTCTTTTCAATTTGGTCCCTGTTAAATTCAATTCGTATTTTTTTAAATATTTTTTTTATATATTACGTTTTATTATATATTATTATTATTATTATATGTGTATATATATATATATATATTTACTTATTTCTTTTTATACTCTTTTACCATTTTATTTTTATTATTATTATTCTTTATATTATCCTTATTATTTCTATTATTACTATTTTTTTACTTATTTATGTATATATATATATATATATACGTTTTTTTAATTTTTTTTCTTTATTTATTATTATATATATATTATTTCTTATTTTAGGTATTTTATTTATATATATATTTTACTTATTATTTTTTTTAACTAATAGTATATATATATATATTTACATGTTTTATTAAACACTCTATTATATATACATCACCTCACATTTATTAGCTAGGGTCCACCTTCTCTTTTTTTTTTTCCTTCCGTCCCGTTATTCATGCTTCACCAAACTTAGACTTCTTTTTTTTTCGGTGGGATTATTCTCAATTTTTTTTACTATTTATTACTATTATCATTATTATTTTTACCTAATAACTATATATTAGTATTCTTTTCATATTTTATTATGTTATTACTATTTTTATTTTACTTAATATTTGTATTTTCATTTTCATTTGGTTTTTCTAATTTGTTTATTTGTCTATTTTTATTTTATTTGTTTATTATCTTATTTTTTTATTGTTTGTTTTATCTTTTTTTACTTCTTGTTTTTTAAGTCATTTATTTACCATTTCTTCCTTCTGTTTTACTTGGGTTTATTTATTTTATTCATTTATTCATTCCCTTTTCATCTAACATTTTTTTTTTTAAGGGCACGATTTAAATCCATCAGAGATAAATAATTTAGGATCATATGTTACCTTTAAAGTTTAACTTTCAATTTTCTTAATTAAAGACAACTGGAAATTACGTAGTACCGAAAAGGCAGTTCAAGGGTGCTAATCCTTCCTTGACCGTAACCGACTCCCGAGCCCGACATATTTCTGGTAAGACGCAGATCAGGTAAGAAATAGGGTATCCGATCAACCTATTTATTCTTAAATAAATGATCGGTGGCGACTCCAATCCACATTTTTTAGGTCGAAGCCCAATTCCGGGGCCCAACCGAAAGACGGTTGCGACAGCTTGGCGACTCCGCTGGGATACAGGTAAGCGAGTCAAGCTAAGGTAATTTCCAGTTGTCTTTTTAATGAAAAGGGTAAGTTTGAACTTTAAGGTAACATTTCGATCCTTATTACTTACTTTTGGTTATATTTTTTCGAGTAAATAGTTGGACTGGCCGTTTTCTAATGATTTCAGCTTTCCAAACTTTTTCATCCAAAGGCTCTATACCCGAGCTCCGAACCCTTTAAGTGGGGGTGAAAGCGACGCATTCGTGTGAATTTATTCACCGCATATGCCTAGCAAGTAGCCTTCGGGATTCATATACCTTATGTCTTCGTGTGAATTTA